TGACGCGCAACCTCGACAAAAGGCAAGGAAGCCGAAAGGCAAGTGCTACTACTGTCAGCAGAAAGGACACTGGAAGACTAACTGCCCTCTTCCCAAGAAATCCGAAAAAGGTACTCCTTTTGCTTTAGTCGTTGAAACATTTTTAGCGGTGATATCTACCAGTACCTGGTGTGTAGATACGAAGGCCACTGATCATGTCTTCAATTCAATGCAGGGGTTCTAGGAAACCAAGCGACTTAGGGAAGGAGAGGTTTTAGATTTTGGCTTAGATAGGTGTAACGCCCCACTTTGATTTTACAGAAATTTCGAATTTTCCAAAAACCAGTATAAAATTTTTAAAATCATTTTCGAAAACTTAGGGGGTGTTAACTAACATTTTTCATATCCCAAGTCTTATCTGGGCCTACGGGGATTCATTACCCGGTTTTCACAATCGGTTTTCATTAACCAACATAAACACATGAAATAAATAACGAAACATCAATCCCAAAACGACAAAGGTTCATAAGTTTCAAAACCAACACACAAGGTTCGAAAATAGTTTGCACAAAAACATGACGTGCAACAGACTTATTCAAGTTCAGCGGAAGTAATTAAAATGCATAAGTAATTAGACCGACCCAACTCGTCCCTTTCTCGTCACCCGGCTGTTGCTTAACCTGCATCGGTGAAGAGCAGGTGGGGATGAGCACAAGATGATAAACGTGCACACCACTATGCACATATATAATAATAACAGTTGGTATGGTTAGAGTATGAACATAAAGCAATCATTTGTCACGTCTCCAAATCACATCACATCATAACATATTACCCACGTGTACAAATCTCTCATTAGCCAAGGATAGGGTATTCATTACCCTAACTCATGGGGGTACGTGCCACTGTAACGGACACGGCCTTTCATTAGGTCTTTACGGAGACTTGCCTCGCAAGGGCAACCGTACCGTAACTCGACGGGGACAACCGTACCGACGGCCGACATCGGCTCACGCTGATAGGCTACATGATTTACATACATACTAAAATCATACAATCTCAACAAGAAACACACATATATGGCATAGCAAGTTTTGAATAAGTAAACCCATCTGGATAGCTCGGTAGAAAATAGCACACAATCACAAGTACGTAGGATGAGGGCTCGACTCCTCAAACACCTACATTTATGCGAGATAATATATCAATAATCTATCTCACTACTCAAACTTAACATAAAACCCATACTTAATAATAATTAAGTCTTAAGGGTTTTAATCGGATTTTTCGTGGACTTGGAACTCTCTCATTTTTGGAAAAGAAAGACTCGGAGGATAAAATTTGAGTCTCGGGACATAAAATAATCTTTCCCAAAATTTTATTATTTTAAAAATATTTTTAAAATTGTAATCGGTATGAAAAAAAGGGACTCCGGAATACAAAATTTGGCTAAAAACCGAACTGGGCCAAAGCTGCCAAGTGATTGCACTAATGGGCCGCCATTGGGCGAGATAGGCCCAAAAATCGCGGCCTGTTAAGGGGAAGATGGGCGCGGGCTTACTGGGCCAGAATGCGGGCTCGCGGGCTCACAAGCGGGCCAAGAGTACAGAGGAGATTCGGGCCGCGCGCGCGGGCTGGAATCGGGCCTGGCGGCCCGCGCATTTTTGAACAGGCCTGGGAGAGAGAAAAAAAAAAGAAACTGGGCTGCGGGCAGTGGGGTTCGATCGCGCGACCTCTCGCGGGGAAAATGGGCGTCGAAACC